TAGTACCTTGATGAATCATTTGTTTCTTTATTTTTATTTTTTTGATATCCAGGTATCCCAATTTACACCAGATTATGTTTTGGACCACACATCCCCGACCCCTCAGTGATGAGTGGAGGTTAATTGCGGGATATACCCAAGTTGACCATGGTCCGTGCACCCTTTATACTCCTGACTCCAAGGGAGCCTTCCTCCATGGATTTCCATGGATATTATATCACCAAGCTACTCCACCCAAATTGAGTATTACAACACTCAGCTGCTTCATCCACGAATCGAACTCCCCACTATGAGGTTGCAAGCTCAACAATGCCCGTCCTTTGCCAACTTGGATGTGCCTCGGGGGGCACCATTTGTTTCTTTATTGTAAGAAGTATCCAGGGATAGAAGATGTTAGGTTTTAGTTGATTTTGTAATTGACAAATTCTGTGAACAAAAAAACTTAAATTGATAGAGTGTAAACGTTCAAGGAGTAATGTGCAGTTTGTTTAAAAGTTAGTTAAATAAGTCTAGGGTTTCGAGTTTGGAACAAGGAGGAAAACGGCGTAGATTTTCGCTAGACTGTCGCCAAGGGTTGACGTTTAGCTACAAAAATAGAAACTGCATAGTTGGATTATCGCCCTTTCTTCGCTCGAGCGTCAGCCTGTAGCTGAGCCCTCGCTCGAGCGACGCTTTATTCGGGAAATTTTTATTTCACGTTTTAAAGGCTTTTTCTCTGACCCATTCGTTTTTTAACCTACTTATAAATATGAGAACTCGCCTGTACGGAATTTGAGGTGTTGAACATTAAGAAAAAAAAAATCAGAGAGTGATTCCTCTATATCATATTCTTCAACCTTCATCAGTGTGAGATATTTTTGTGAGAAAGACATTGATTTATAATTCAAATGCCAAACTACTAATTCTTCTACATCTGGTCAGAGTTCTGAAAATTGAAGGAAGTTGACATGAGTTTTTGTCTGTGAAGAATATGTTGTTCTTCGTGATCCACGGGAGATAGACGAATTCACAAGGCTTGGAGTGCTGCATAGTAGTAGATTCCACTGAGAGCTTTGATAACAACATCTAAGGATTGGTGCAGGAGAGAACGAGATCCACATAGAGCTGTAAAGAGTGCAATCGGGTGATCGGATAGTACGGGTCATCTAGTTTGGTAGATTGTAAGTTTTTTAATTCGTTTATAGTGGATTGATCGTCAAAGTGCTCGGAGTTTTTCCTAATTGGGTTTCTCTGTGATTATACCGTTGTTCGTTAATTGCTTTATATTATGAATGGATGATCTGTTGTATTTAAACTTAAGATTAAATTGATTGCATGATTAACCATATAGAGGTAATTAATTGGTGACTTGTTGCTAGTTAGTTAATAAGATTTTAAATTCCGCATATTACACCTATTCACTTCCCTCTAAGTGTTGTTAGAGTCGAATTGCGTAACTTTCAGAAGACCAAAAGCAAAAAAGTCTAACTGAGTGTGGTGGGAACAATTTTATTGTTGTTGGCTTTAATAAAGAAGAATGTAGACTTGCATGTGCTAAGATGATAGTAATTGATGAGCTATCTTTTAGCTTTGTCGAAGGTTACGGGTTTAGACAATTTTGTCGTGTAGTATGTTCGAATTTTGATTCTCCTTTTCGTTTGGCTATTGTTATAGATATTTATCAATTGTATTTGGATAAAAAATTGCAATTGAGAAAAATCCTTCGAAGTCAAAAAGTTTATCTTACTACTGATACTTGGAGTTCCATTCAAAACATTAACTATATGTCTCTCACTGCACACTTTGTTGATTCTGATTTGAAACTTCATAAACGAATTTTGAATTTTTCCGTGATTGCTAATCATAAAGGTGAAACCATTGGTAAAGCTATTGAGACTTGTTTACGTTTATAGGGTATTGAGAAAGTGTTTACAATCACGGTTGACAATGCGACTGCAAATGAAGTGTCTATTTCTTATCTTAAGAGGAAGATCATTAGTAGGAGTAGTGATGGGTGTGTTTTGGAGGAAAATATTTGCACATCAGGTGTTGTGCGCATATTGTTAATTTGATTGTATGTGAGGGATTGAAGGAAGCACATGTATCAATTGTTAGTATTCGCAATGCAATGAAATATGTTAAATCTTCTCTAGCTGGAGAACAAAAGTTTAAGGAGTGTGCACGTCAAGAAAAAATTGATTGTAAATCACATGTATTTTTGGATGTATCAACTAAGTGGAATTTAACATATTTGATGTTGAAAGCTACTTTAAAATTCTTAAAAGCTTTTGAAAGGTTAGAGGAGGATGATATATAATATTTCAATTATTTTCAGGAGAATGATAGCGGTAGAAGAAGGGGTCGACCTCCTAGCACTTTTGATTAGGAAAATGCTTCTGTTTTTGTGAAGTTTCTTAAAGCTTTTATGAAGTAATTTTGAAGTTTAGTACTTAACTGTGTGTGAGCTCTAACATTTATATTCCTGAAGTCTGTTCACTTCTGACTGAATTGGAAGAACAGAGTAAAAAAGGTGATTATCTTTTGAGTGATATGTCTATTAATATGAAGAAAAAATCTGACAAATGTTGGGGAAAAATGGAAAATGTTGACCAATTATTGTTGATTGCTACTATACTTGACCTGAGATACAAATTGGAGTTGTTGATTTTTGTTTTGGTTATATTTATGAGGATAATGAAGTTGCTTGTAACATGACAAATATTTGAGGGACAATATGATGTCTATTTACAATTGGTATGTGAATTGTGAAGCAAGTTCTGAAAGCAATAAAGTATCTAGTGAAGTGAATTCTTCAAGTGGGCTACTAAAGAAAATCTTACTTCAAGTATGTCTGTTACTCGTGTTTCTAGGTTTATGAGAAAGCGAGCAGCAAAAGATTTGGTTGACCTAAAAATTTATGTGGATAGGTAATTGTCAGATGCTTGTGAAAACATAGAGGATACGAATTTTGATGTTCTTAACTGGTGGCGGTTTAATGGAAATAAATATGGCACTTTGTCCAAACTTGCAAGGGATGTTATGACAATTCAAGTGTCTACTGTGGCTTCAAAAAGTGCTTTTAGTACGGGAGGAAGAATTCTTGATCCCTTCCATAGTTCTTTAACCTCGATGATGGTGGATGTCTTGATGTGTACTCAAAATTGACTAAAAGAAACTCCGATCACTAATAGAGATTTTACATGGAGGATGTGGAGAAATATAACTAATTGGATAAAGGTAATATAGCTAAAATTATTTCACGAATTATGTTAAATATGTGCTTTATCTAATTGATTCTAACTCAATAATTATTTTTGTGGAGCTTTCTGAATTAGAGTTTGAATCAAGTAGTACATAGTTTCTTTCTCCTTTGACCCGCCGTAGGATAATTGCTCAGTTTGGCCTTGAATCACTAGTCATTTCTTTATTATTTTGTTACCGGATGATTGTAAATCGAAAATTTTTTAATTTGAATTTGGATGACTGTATAATTTTTATTATATTACCTAGTTTATATTTAATTATTTTGTGGATTATGGAAATGACAAACTTTTACAAACGAGAGATGAATTAAGTTTTTTACAAGTAGAAAACAAACAGGAAATGACAAGTTATTCATAAGAAGAAAATGGCAACTTTATATATATATAAAACAAGGAAACTGTTTAATATATCCCAAAAAAACTATTTAACCAATTAAGTTTTTTCTGATTTTAATTTGAGTAATTAAGAGTTGATTTGGGAATTTTATATATATAAAAAAAAGGCTTGGCCTAGCCTGGCCCGTGCAATTCGGGTTCAATAACCAAAACGGTCGATTCGGGCTATGCAACAGTACAAAATCGATCAACTCGGGTCGGGTTGGGTCAAGTCAGGTCGGATTCGGGCCAAAATGGACCCAACTGACTCGTTGCCCAGCTCTATCTATCGAGGTGCCATAAAAAGCCAAACATTCCATGTCAGACGAGGTGCCACGTGCAACTAACGAATTTGTCCAAGTGTGGAGGAGCATGGCTACGTGGACATGAATGGAGCCAAGATCAATTAATCATGTCACCTCTATAAAAATCGAGGTCAATAGAATTCAAAGTGACAGATTGATGATAAATTAAAGAAATGATAGATTTAGTGGTTGTAATATGTTTTGCATAAACTTAAGTGGTCCATGTTTCACGTTCACAAGTGTGGCGTAATCTAATTACACCAAAATGAGTTTTATATCAGTGAGATCAATGCCCAATTAAGCCCTTGTTTGATGCCCATTAAAGAGTTTTTTTGGGGAACATGAATTTTGAAACATTGATTTTTTCAATAATGCCTGGTTAAAAAATAGAGAAAAATTTTGAATTTACGTGCAAAATAGTGAAAATTTGATTTAAAAATAATTTTTTTTGTTGGAGAACGGTAAACAAACACGGGCTAAATGATTGTCTAGAATATTGGTGACCAGAACCAATGAAGGATGAAGGGAAAGTTCACTGCAAACCGTGTACTATAATGAATCAATTTTTTTCTTAGAAGTACACATTTTAGGGAGAGGAGTAAAAGTTGTATCAGGTATACTTAAGGTATCAGAAAGAAGGTGAGGGAGGCCCTAGGCGAGAGAGGATGCACAGCAGCTACAGGACCACGAAAAAAATCTTCAGTTTCAGCTTTGCAGGCACGTTGGTAATGATTGAGTGACATTTTTTCTTTTAGTCCAAACCAACATGATCATGCTATTGTTATCTACCTTTTTAATGTGACAGAGAATGCAAATAGACAGTAATAAGGTCAAGAAAGTTGGTGACCTGTGGATAGGTACGATTAAAAAAGGCCTAAATTTTCCAATATGGATTGGAAGGGAGTTCAGAACAGACTAGACGAAACAGAAAAGTAGATAAGCATCCACCCTCTACATGTTTGACACCAAAGCCTTATTGACTGACCAGAACCATACAGGAAGAGCGACGCAGGATTGAAGAAACTAGGCTATGCTCATAGTACACAGTGTTGCAAATCGAGAAGTTTCTTATTATTCATTATGTTCTGCAGATAACTGAATTCGAAATATTTCCAGGACGAGTTACAAACCCCAGACAAGAAGCTATTCCCAGATTCTGGCATAGTTGTACAGCAGGATAACTGATTGTACAAGATTTTTGAACAGCTTGTTGATTCTGTGCAGAAACAGAAATCGTCAAAAGCATTATAATCACAATTTAGCATACCAATGGAAAAGTACAAAGGTATCTCACCTGACACAGTCGATTATTCTCTGAGCAAAAAGTGAATTCACTACCCACAGTTAATTCCTTGTGCCAAAGGCAATTTATTCCCATAAGTGATTGTACTGCAGAGTGCAAAGAAAAAGCTCGAAATCAGAAATGGCTTCAACGTCTAAACTACTATTAAAACATGGGGTTTGCTTGCTAAAAATAAAATCTGAACAGCAAAAGAATTTCAAACTGCTAAACTGGTTAAGATATAGAATTCTAAGTTCTTTTTCATTACCGTCTGAATTTAAGCACTGCACTAAATTAGCCTGTTTGATAATTATGTGAGCTGACACATGGAGAAATGGGGGACAAGAAGAGAACAGAGAGCCAAAAGTACGTGATCTTGTCATCGAAGCACCTAATCTGAATAATTAACTTCCAATAGCAGTGCTGAGAATATACTTCTAACAGACACAAAAATATAATGCAAGCCATAAGAATTATAAATGGAAACTTCACTGAATAAGATGATGAATTTACCAAGTTGAGCGCCTCATGTATTGTTTCCAAGAATTACTTCCAGCTTCTTGGCCACCTCCTGTAGCTTTTTCTCCCCCAAAAGCCCCACTAATCTCAGCTCCATTTATTGGAATATTGACATTTACAATTCCACAATCACCTTCTTGAGGCCTGCATAAGATCTATGCATGTGAGAAGCAACGAGAAGCTATATAAGATACCAAAGTCCAAATATATCACTCCTCGACTCTAGCACTTGCAACTGTTTGGTTCTTACAGATGAAACAAACAAAAAAGAGAATGTCCATAACCAAGTTTAACGTCTCACCCAATCCATTTGAATATGATTTCAGGTTTGAGGGTGAAGATTGAACTACTTAAACCTTGAGGTACAGAATTGTTTATCTCAATTGCTTCCTTCAGACTCAGCAAAAAATATTAGGCACTTGAAACTGAGGTACAGCTCTGAGTTGGAAAACTCAGATGACAACTCTATATTTCAAACTATATATTAGAGCCTTAGATATTTTTATTTCCAGCTGTCAGTTAGTTAGCACTCCAGCTGTCAATTAGTTGGACCAATTATTTATATATGTGATTGTATTGAACCTAAGTGGCAAGTCTTTCTCTCTCAGCTCAATAGAAAGTTTTCCCGCCTATTTTCCTTCTCTATTTTTCTCTGTAAATGCAATATGGTATCAGAGCTACAACACTCCTGATTCAGTACCTAATTTGTTGATTGAATCAGATTTCCGTCTGTGTTTGTTTCACTGATCAATTGATTTTCCATTCTCGCGATTGAATCGCATTTTCATGGCGTCAACAGCTGCATTAGGATCGGACAATTCTGCATCATCAGGAAGCAATTCTATTACTGGTGATGAATTAAGTCCTTATTACCTCCATCATTCGGATAGTCCGGGTTTAATTCTAGTTTCTCAGCATCTTGCTGGCGACAACTATGCTTCTTGGAGTCGAAGTATGATCATTGCCCTATCGGTGAAGAACAAGCTTGGTTTTATCGATGGTTCTATCCCCAAACCTGAAGGTAATGATGTTCTCATCAATTCCTGGATCCGTAATAACAACATTGTCATATCTTGGATACTGAATTCAGTTTCTAAGGAAATATCAGCAAGTATTCTGTATTCGATATCTGCTTATGAAATTTGGAAGGATCTTAAAGAGAGGTTTCAACAGAAAAATGGACCACATATCTTTCAGCTGAGACGTGATCTCATGAATCATTCTCAAGCGCAACTGAACATAGGATCTTATTTTACCAAACTGAAACTATTTGGGATGAATTAAGTAACTATAGACCTTCATGTTCATGTGGAAAATGTACATGTGGGGGAACTAAGGCTTTGGATGAACACTACCAAACTGAGTATGTAATGTCCTTTTTAATGGGGCTTCATGAATCTTTTGCTCAAACTCGCAGTCAAATTTTACTTATGGATCCTATACCACCCATTAACAAAGTTTTTGCTCTTGTCTCTCAAGAGGAACATCAAAGAACCTTGAATACTGTGGCTGGAACATCTACTGGGAATAATCCTATGGCTTTCTCTATTAAAAATGAAGGGAATCGTTATAATGGTGGTCAACAGTATAGTAAGTTTCAGAGGAGGGATCGACCAGTCTGTACATATTGTGGAATTACTGGTCATGTTGTTAACAAATGTTATAAACTTCATGGCTATCCTCCTGGTTTCAAAATAAGGCAGAGGACTACTCCTCAAACTCAAAATGTTGCTCCAACTCAAAATGTTCCTCCAACTCAAAATGTTGCTGCCACAGCAAATCAGGTCTCAGAATTGCCGGCTAGCCAAGGGAATATTGATGGTTTTGTTCAAACCTTGAATACAAATCAGTATCAACAATTGTTGGCCATGCTGAATTCTCATCTGATATCAGCTAACACTGACACTGGGCTTGATGTGAACTCCACTCATACATCAGGTATATGCTCATCTGTTTATAATCAACCAATGCTTCATTCTCCTAAACTCTGGATAGTTGACTCCGGTGCTACTAATCATGTGTGTTTTGATCGATCTCTATTCCATAGTATGATTCCCATTACAAATTCTTTTGTCACTCTTCCAAATAACTCACGTATTCAAGTGCACTTCTCTGGATCCATTCAACTCAGTCCCTTGCTGATACTATATGATGTTCTTTATATCCCTCAATTCCAATTCAATTTGTTATCTGTTACCTCGTTAACCAAAAATTCTTTTCTTCAAGTTAACTTTCTTATGGATTGTTGTATCCTCCAGGAAAGGGCAACTTTGAAGATGATTGGCAAGGGTGACAAAGTGGCTGATCTATATGTCATTGATTCTAGCAATTTTTCTACTTCTTGTAATTCTGTTTCTGCTAATCGAACTTCCTTTAATTCTGTTTCTGTTGCTACTGAACTTGCTTGTAATTCTTCTGCTATTAATAATGTGACATCTGATATTTGGCACAATCGTCTTGGTCATGTATCCTTTAAACGCTTGGACTTGCTGAAAGACAGGTTATCTCTCAATTGTAGAAACCATAAAGACTTTCATTGTTCTATCTGCCCATTAGCTAAACAAAGACGTCTTTCCTTTGTTTCTAACAATCATATGTCTGCTAAGGCCTTTGATTTGATTCATTGCGATACATGGGGTCCATATCATACACCTACACATTCTGGGAATCGTTATTTTCTCACCTTAGTAGACGATTGTATTAGATTTACTTGGTTGTTCCTCATGAAACAGAAATCAGATGCCAAATTCATCATTCCCAGATTTTTCTCTCTTATTGAAACACAATTTGGCAAAGCTATTAAGACATTTAGGTCTGATAATGCCCCTGAGTTACAATTCACTGAATTTTTCAATTCTAAAGGTGTATTACATCAATTTTCTTGTGTCGAGCGACCTGAACAAAACTCTGTCGTGGAACGAAAACATCAGCATCTTCTTAATGTTGCTCGAGCCCTTTTATTTCAATCTCATGTACCTATCAAATTCTGGGGGGAATGTGTTCTCACTGCCACCTACTTGATCAATCGGACCCCTTCACCCTTGTTGCATGGTGAATCTCCTTTTTACCTTCTTCATGGCACCCAAGTTGATTACTCCCATCTCAGGGTATTTGGTTGTTTGTGCTATGCATCAACCTTACCTTCCACTCGAACCAAATTCCACCCTCGTGCTACAGCTTGTATCTTTGTTGGTTATTTACCTGGCATAAAAGGCTACAGACTTTACAACATCCAATCCAGAACTTTCTTTGTTTCTCGAGATGTCATTTTTCACGAGACATTGTTCCCTTTTCAGTCCATAACATCATCTACTGACCTTGTTGATCCTTTCCCAGAGTTGGTATTGCCTGTACCAACTTCTGATCTGCCTCTCTCTTCTATGCCTTTACCTAATGATGACATCCCTATCAACTCTGCTTCCAGTCCTCATAATGTCACCACACATACTCCTGTTGTTAGACGAACTTCAAGGGCTGTTAAGCCTCCTTCGTATTTGCAGGACTATCACTGCAACCTACTCCAGCATGATTTACAGACATCTTCTGCTACTCCATATCCATTGACAGATCACCTTTCATATTCCTCTTTTTCTTCTTCTCATCGAGCCTATCTTCTCCAAATTTCATCAACCTTTGAACCTCAGTTTTATCACCAGGCTGTTAACTATCCACATTGGAGAGAAGCTATGGCAAATGAGTTAGAAGCCCTGGAGTTCAACAATACATGGTCTATTCAGCCTTTGCCTAAGGACAAACACTCTATTGGATGTAAATGGATTTATAAAGTTAAATACAAATCTGATGGGAGCATTGAACGTTACAAAGCCCGTTTGGTTGCAAAGGGCTACACACAGCAAGAAGGCTTGGACTTTCTTGAAACATTTTCTCCAGTTGCGAAGTTAGTCACTGTTAAAATGTTGCTTGCTATTGCAGCTATCAAAGGTTGGCATCTTTTCCAACTTGATGTAAATAACGCTTTTTTGAATGGGGACTTATTTGAGGAGGTCTATATGGATCTTCCCTTGGGCCATGTTATGCACAAGAAAGTTACTGGTAAGGGGGAGAAAATGGTGTGTCGTTTGCATAAGTCCATTTATGGTTTGAAGCAAGCCTCCCGACAATGGTTCTCTAAATTTTCTCAGGCCCTTGTTCTGTATGGCTTCACCCAATCCAAGTCTGATTATTCCCTTTTTACTAAGGGCACTGGTTCCTCCTTTGTGGCCTTGCTAGTTTATGTCGATGACATAATAATCACAGGCTCTAACTTGATTCTCATTGATGGGTTAAAGAGGTTTCTCCATAGCAGCTTCAAGCTTAAAGACCTTGGTTCTTTAAAGTATTTTCTTGGTTTGGAAATTGCACGATCTGCCAGAGGTATATTTTTCTCCCAGAGGCACTATGCTTTACAGTTGCTTGAGGACTCTGGCTTTCTGGCCTGCAGGCCAGCTTCCACTCCTATGGATCCTAAGACCAAAATCAGTTCCTCTGATGGGGATCTCATTTCTGATGCTTCTTCATATAGGAGACTGATTGGCAGATTACTTTATCTCACTGTCTCTCGGCCGGATATAACCTTTGCAGTTCATAAGCTTAGCCAGTTTGTCTCCTCTCCTAGGCAACCTCACTTGGATGCTGCACATCACCTGTTACGATATCTGAAAAACTCTCCTGGACAAGGCTTATATTTCTCTTCAGCTTCATCTCTTCAGCTTCGAGCATTTGCAGATGCTGATTGGGGATCGTGTTTGGACTCTCGAAGATCCATGACTGGTTTTTGCATTTTTCTTGGAGATTCTATGATTTCTTGGAAAGCCAAGAAGCAGACAACAGTTTCTAGGTCCTCTGCTGAAGCTGAATACAGATCACTTGCTTCCACCACCAGCGAGCTTGTTTGGCTTCGTCAGTTGTTGCTCGATTTTGGTATTTCCCCTACTGGTCCATCTGTTATGTTTTGTGATAACCAAGCCGCGATTCACATTGCTAACAATCCTACATTCCATGAACGGACAAAACATATCGAGATCGATTGCCATTTTGTTCGGGATAAAATTACAGAAGGTTCCATCAAACTTCTTCCTGTTCGCACTCATCACCAACTGGCTGATGTCTTCACTAAGGCGTTGCCTTCTGCCCCGTTAGTCTCTTTGCTTGCCAAGATGGCTGTTCTTGACATTCACAGGCCCTCTTGAGGGGGAGTATTAGAGCCTTAGATATTTTTATTTCCAGCTGTCAGTTAGTTAGCACTCCAGCTGTCAATTAGTTGGACCAATTATTTATATATGTGATTGTATTGAACCTAAGTGGCAAGTTTTTCTCTCTCAGCTCAATAGAAAGTTTTCCCGCCTATTTTCCTTCTCTATTTTTCTCTGTAAATGCAATACTATAGGCTACCTGAAACTTCGTTACATAAAGAACTGGTCCAAACCTTCCTTAACCACATCGGCATTTGGAGAAATTTCACCTATGGTCTTGTTATGAAACACATCGTAAGATAATGGCAATAATGAAATAATGGAGAAGAAAATAAGAACACAAGAATTTACGTGAAAACCCAATTTGGGAAAAAATCACAGGCGAAAGAGAACAATCCACTATAATCAATAGTTTTGTGTTTACAATATCAAGATTCCAATAATTTCAATTGAAATTTAAGCTCTCAATCTGTCAATATGTTGTTGAATTTGTAAAGGATATAATGAGAATTTTACAATATTGAAATACAATGTGGAAATATATATAAACCATCTTATTGAGAAGAAGTCTCAAAATCCGCATAAAACGGAAAAATCGCGAACATCAGTTATTGTTGCAACGCTTGGGAGCTACATCGCAGCGCCCGGGCGCTATGCCTAGCGCTTGAGCGCCATGTCCCTGCCTCATTTTTCTTATTGCTTCAATTCTTGGCGCCTAGATTCTGCGATGGTAGCGTCTAGGCGCTAGGTCTTGGGTTAATATTTCAAAACATGCTTTTTGTCATCCAAGAGTCATTTTTCAAGTCAAATTCCTAATTATTATTGAAATTTGATCTCCACAATTTGATTCCAATCAACCAAATCCCAAATCACATGAAATCCAATCAACCAAATATCAAATCACATGGAATTTGGATCACACCACAACAGTGAGTTGCACAAAATTTCCTTTGGAATCTGTAGCATTGCCACCTGTGAGTATCTTTCCTCCCTGAAATACATTAGTAGGCGATATTTGTAAAAGTCGTGTACATAAGAAAAAGCTAAAGGAAAACAGATTCACTGCTTTAGTATGACTTGGTTTATGAGGCAATCATTGAAGACAACGTAATACTACTATAGAAAAATATTGGTTTTTTCTTCTAGAAATGAATTAACCATACATTTTGTTAAAGCATTCTCACTTTAGATTTAGTCTCTTAACAATTAAAATTCAAGTTTATTTTATATATGTTCATATTACTATTACCAACTGCAAATGTGTAGTACAAGTAACAGTTATCACCATCAATGATATACATGCATTGCATGTATACCAAAACTTGTTTAAAGAAGGAATGGACAAAGCTTATTGGTTATTACACAAACTTGTGATTTCAAGTGATTCTTATGCAACTGGAAAATCATGAACTAAGCTAAAATTGTGCTTCTACAATAGGTTCAAAAAACCCAACAGGAGTTCACAGACACTGTTGCAAGGACGATTAAGAAGAGGTTAGATTTTTGTGCAAATGTTTTTATTTTCTGTTAATAAATAATGCCCAATAGGAATCGACCTTTGCTACTCAATCACTGAGCAGATGAAAAACAAAAGAATCAGTAAGATAGTATTTATAGCAAAAGATGACACTTGATTTCAGATCAACAGTAACAGATGTATGTCATACTGAAAATGATTTGCTGAAAAACTGGCCAAGCAACAGCACAAAGCTGAGACTTGATTTTCTGTATTCCCTTCTCAAAATTTTCCCTTGAAGCACGAGTATGCAGTGGCCTGAGTAAGGTACCTTTCTCTAATGGATTTCCTATCTTGACTTGTTTGTATACATCAAGCAATCGGTCAAGCACTTTCTGATAGATATTCTCATGAAGAAGCTTCATTTCAAGAACAGCAAGATGAAAAGGAGTATTAGATTTGAAGACTTCGGTTTCTACTACTAAAAATGCAGAAGATAATGTCAAATATTTCACACCACCAGTCTTCGGCAGGTTGTACATCTCTGACCAGCTGTACCAACAGCAGCAAACAAAACAGAGCGAACAGCAAGTTCAGTGTTGTTAAAGTTTGGCTGAATTGTCTTTCCCGTTTGAGGGATCTTCCATTAAATAGGAATTGTATGCATCCTAAATATGGTAACAAAACTAATTACAATAATGTACAATCAATTAGATACGTATTTATACTAGATGTAATCTCCATAATCTTTGTCATTCTTCAATCAATCTCATTGACATCCCCCCTCAAATTGATGTTGGGCGATCAAGAAGCATCAATTTGCCGACAAGGAACCAATGACGCTGTCCGGTCATTGCCTTAGTAAATATATCAGGGATCTGAAGATTAGTGGTGATATGTGGAAGAGGAATGACGTGACCATCATAAGCCTCACGAATAGAGTGACAGTCCACCTCAATGTGTTTAGTGCGCTCATGAAACATAGGATTAGCAACAATTTGAATGGGGCTAGTATTATCGGCAAAAGTGGAGTAGGCCTAAGCTGAGGACAACCAAGCTTCGATAGAAGGCCCCGTAACCAAACAATCTCAAAACAGGAAGCAGACATAGCACGATACTCAGATTCAATGGAAGATTTAGAGATACGATCATGTTTCTTGCTGCGCTAGGAAATTAGTGCACCCCCAAGAAACATGCACCAACCTGTAATTGAGCAACGAGTATCCACACATCCCCGCCCAATCCGCATCACTATATCCTACCAACTTAAGTGAAGAATTTGTACGAAAGAAAAGACCCCTATCGGGTGTACCCGATAAGTATTGTATAATGCAATGAACCGCAGTCAGATGAAGACGTCATGGATCATGCATAAATTGACAGACCTGTTGCACGACAAAAGATATATCAGGTCGTGTAATAGTAAGATAATTCAAACTACCAACTAACTGACGATATAAGGAGGCATTAGGAAGAAGATCACCCTCCTTCTTAAGGTACTTCACATTCGCCTCTAAAGGAGTATCAACCGAGAGACCATCCCGAAGTCCAGCTAAAGTAATCAACTCCTCCAAGTACTTGTGTTGATGCAGATAAGTTCCAATTGGACTTGAAAGTATCTCAAGACCTAAGAAATATTGTAAGGGGCCCAAATCCTTCATACGGAAAGAATCCTTCAATCGGGTTTGAAGTTGAGATATCAGTCCAGAACCAATGCCTGTAATAACAATATCATCAACATAGACCAAAAGAAACACAGTGCCGGCTTTGTTGGCAGAAATGAAGAGAGACGAATCATATTTGATTTGAATAAATGAGTAACCCAAGAGAATAGACCGAAACTTGTCAAACCAAGCACGAGGAACTTGCTTCAACCCATAAAGTGAACGCTTTAGTTTACACACATCGGAAGATGGTAATGAAAAGAGACCCTTAAGAGGTGTCATATAAATATCTTTTTTAAGATCACCATGTAAGAAAGCATCATTGACATCCATCTGCCACAAAAACCAACCCCTGGATGCCGCTATAGCCAAAAGAGTTCAAACCGTCATCATTTTGGCAACAGGAGTAAAGGTCTCCTCATAATCCACCCCATACTCGTGACGATTCCCAAGAGCCACCAACCGAGCTTTATATCGTTCTAGCGACCCATCAGATCGGTGCTTAATGGAATAGACCCATTTGCACCCAATAGGACGGACACCAGAAGGACAAGAAACAATATCCCTTGTGTGATTCTCTTGAAGAGCTTGAAGTTCCTCTTGTAAAGCCTTTTCCCAACAAGGTTGTGTAGCAGCCTGAGAATAAGAAGTAGGAACTGTGAAATAAGATAAAGTTGCAGAGAACCCATACCGATCAGGAGGATGAGTAATGCGAGTTGATCGTCGAAGAACAGCAGAATTTGGGATGGGATCGGGAACAAGAAGGGCCAGTCAGTCTAAATGTCTAAGGAATCAAAGGAAAAGAGCCACTTCTAATAAAATAAAAATTATAGGTGTGTGGTAATATATTCACACTAACATTGATTTGGTGAAATTTAGTGCTTCATTATGGAAAGAGTTCGGCATAGTGTTTTACACTCACTTAACAAATTGATGGTGTAGAAATTGTACGTAAAATAACTCACCAGACCACAAAATTACCGCAGACTAGCGCAACGCATGCGTTCCACCATATATATACACAGTGAACACTTTTTAACACTTTAAATGCCATGAGAAGACAAAACAGAGATTCATTATATATTAAAATTAGACGTGGAAAAAGAATGAGGGAGCAAAAGTAAATAAACCAATGAAGTTTGCTGTAAATTCTTACCAAGAATAGCACAATGGAAATTGAAAGTCGTGTGACCAAGATTTAGGATGGTTCTATGTAATAGGTGGAAAATGGGGACCTCGAAATTCAACTTACCATCTAACGTACCTCCAAGATCATATGATTTGGACCTGTTGAAAAAATAACTACAGTTACTGGAAGTGAATAGTTCTACTAATAACAATGACCACATGTATTTCGTCATTTACGGAATAGAATCAAATACTTAAACTGCTGAAGAAAATTAGCACAACTCGGGCTGTTATAGAAACTTTGGAAAAGAAAAGCTGGCTATCATATTCGACAACAAACAAAAAGGATAGCAAACTGTTCTATTAAATTCAAAACTGAGAGTCCGTTTGATTGCAAATGTGGAAAATTAGTGGAAAAAAATGAATTACTAGGAATTGCCTAGAAATTGTTTTACTGGTAATAGTGGTGTCAATCGAGAAGAGCCAGCTCGTGGGCTCAGCTTGTTGCCACCGATCCATGAGCCGCTCGGGCTTGTCAAAAGATGAGCTCGAGCACGAGCCGACCGGACAGCTCACTAGGGGAGCCGAGCCCTGCTCGGCTCATTTTTTCACGAGTGGCTCGTCCAAAAATTCATTTTTTTAAAAAAATGCTTATCTTATTAATAATAATAAAAAAATTACCCGAGCCACGAGCTAAAGCTCGGCTCGGCTCGGCCCATGAGCATCACACGAGCCACGAGCTCGTAGGCCGAGTCGAGCTCGGGTATTTATAATGAGCCGAGCTCGAGCTCGAGCTCGTTACAAATGAGCTATGAGCTTGGCTCGTGACGAGCACGAGCCGAGCCTGCTCGGCTGGTCCATTGACACCTCTAACTGGGAATTGTAATTAATTGTGTTTGATTTGTATAATTTTCCACCTAGAAAAATATTGAAAGTTAGGTACAGAATTTGTTCTAATTGCCCAAGAAAAATTACTATACCGAATATCATTTGTTTAGATTTGTTTTGCATGGAAATTGTCCATTAATGGGAAATTTTTTTTTACCGTTGTTGATAGAATTTTTTCTAATTGCAACAAAAAAAAAAAAAAATTGGAAAACACAAAAACCACCAAAACAACAAGAAAACCAATTCCTTGAAAAGTAGGGAAAATGGGCGAGTGAGGGGTGGAGGTGTAAAACGTTTTCGGAGTAAAATTTTTGCTATCAAACGGTGCAAAATGTGGAAAATGGAATTTCCAACTTCGAAGGAAAATCTTGGTTAACAAACAGGGCCTGAGTGTCAGTGATTAATAACTTACTTTCAGAAGGTATTATCGATCCATTTAGCTGACGGCTCAATCCCACAGCAAAGTTACACATATCAATTATTTCCTGAAGTAATATTCCTAGTGAAATGAGAGAATGTATTGAACTGTACTCTGTCATTTACAAAAGTAAAAAAAAAAAAACCAACAGAAGGAGATGATATTGTCTCAAACAAACAACAGTTGGTTCTGTCAAGACTTCTTTAACACCTCCCAATGGAAAGAAGTTATTTAATTTATAAGAAACACAATTTATTCTCAATACAAAGAGACTAAACAATTCTTCTAGCAATAAGTAATTATATTATATTTTAAATCAACAAGTTTTCCACTGCATCTCTGAAACTTTCCAAAAACCTTTTGTAAAGTATGCATTTTGTGTTCTTCAAAGTGCAACTGCACCGATACGGGCATTACCAAATCATCTTTCAAGATAGACTTTTGAATCAACATGGTCTTCACATCTTCCAAAATGTGAGTTTTACAGAATAATTTGAATGATTAGATATCAATTATGTAAGGGTAATACAAGAAAAAACTAAATTTTACAATCGAAAACAGTCCACATCCTAATTGCAAACATAATGCAATGTACATGTAGAAGATGGTGGAGCATCATATAATATGGTCAGTATGGAGTTCGTATGACCAATAATGTGTGACTATATACTCTAAAACAGAAGCTATGTAGAATTGTACCGTTTGTGACAAGTGCATTATTTATGAGTCCATTCATAATAAATGAAATGATGAACCCTTTTATCTAAAAGCTTAAGTTGTTCAGAGGTGGGTATATCATTTAAATATTATCTTCAAAATACACATGCTCACACTGAGGACCTTCATCTGCTGATTCTGCTCTAATACCATTTTAATCTAAAAGCTTATGCTATTAGAGAGCCCACATCTATATCAATTAAATATTGTCTTCAATGTTAAAAAATGGCATTTTCCTATAACATGTGAATTTTCAAATGAAGTAACAAAGTTTTTCAGCCAACAATGCACTTGGCATTTTATACAGATTTTTAGCACGCAAAGACGGACATTTCTCTTCTATCTTCTCATTCTTTACTTCTTTGTTTTGCCTAACGGAAGATGGTGCTAAGACTTGTACAGCAGAGGCAAATAGGAGGAGAAAGTCAGAACAAACGGGGAAATACTATTTGATAAGCAGCAAATCATCCCTGACATGGCAGTAAATCTTTTAAACATTTCCTTTCCAGGCTTTACAGTTGCACACCACTCATTGTACAATTTCCTGGCGAACCGAAACATCTTAGTAGCCAGAGGAAAGAAAGCAAAAGCGATTCACATAGTTGCGGCAAGCGAAATGGGAGCAGTCTAAAGCATGAAAACGGGGTTGTGGGAGGCAATTAAAGCATCGTGCTGCTAGGCGAAGCAGCAGAGTTAGTATATCTATTTAGTTGCTTTTGATCAACTATTGCTGATAATTATAGCCTTATAGGACAAATTTCTATCAGACTGATAACCAATCACTACAAAAGTCAGATTTCAGAACTGATGCTAATACATGCCGCCATATTATTCTAAAGGAATACGTGATGCACCTAAAATATTAACTTGATTTTGTTTTTGGTACAGTACCAATTGAAAACAATTGATGGAGAATGAGAAAAATCTATAGAGGAAAGGGAATTAGAAGCAGGAATGGTAGACGAAGAAAATCACAGAAGAAGGAGAAGAAGAATAGGGAAAAGGGAGGAAGCTTTGGCAACAACCCACAAAATATTTTATTCATTCATAAACTGTCTAAAGTACAACATGAAAATCATATAAATAGTAAAACATAACCCTCCTAGTGATGGGCTTGGGCCAACCCAATAATAAAAAACATAAATAATGAAAAAAAATCCCAAATAAAAAGTGATGTCCGCATCAGTTTTCTGTATCCATTTTCTATGCTAACTCTTCAACATAATTTTAGAAATACAAAATGTACTCTTAGGTATTACATAACATAAGACAAGTCTATGCCGTGTGGCAAATATGATCATGTACCTGAACTTCCCCAATTCTTTCAGCTAGTATTTTTCCCATCTCAAGAGAAACAAGCCGACCAAGATGATGGAGTTTGGCTCTCAGGGCATCACCAATCTGCCGACAATCTCACCTCTCTTTGGTGCAGGAATTTGAGACAAGATGAACAGTCAGACAAGGGTTGAAGAGGCCATAACAGTTCCAAGAAAGGAATCAAAAGCTAATAGTGTGGCATGCTTTACTAAAAAGAAGGAAACACCATTTAACATAAAACAAGTAATGGAAACAGAACTTCAATCAGACATCATCAATTTTAATTTAGAAAAGTTTTATATACCTGCTTCCACATCTTTACAACCTCAGCACAAGCCTGCATGCCTTCCTCATAGTCTTGAACAGATGCTTCGACCACTATCTATAAAACAGTTCAAAATACAAAATAAACTCAAAGTGTCAGCAAAACGTTTAATCAGAAAAGGATATACAAGGCATCTGCAATCATTTCTAAATTCCTATAAACATCATCAAGTGAACCATTATGATTTTTAAGCCATTCAAATAATTATCGCTTAAAGGGAAAAATCGACCGCCTTTAACATCTCAGATTCTCAGCCCCAGCTTGTTAAAAACAGCAAAAATAAAAAAATAAAGCTAAAGTTGAATTGAACAATCAAACCTGATTGTTGGCCGGATTTACAGAGGAAATCACGGGACCATTTCCATGCCACACACCGTTAATATAACAACCAAGGTTTTGCGAACCGAGTCCAATCTCCTTAAGGAATTCATATTCATTCTTCATTTCTACATAAAATCACAACCAATTCACTTCAAAAATCTAATGCAAAACGCACAATCAATTCACTTGAATAATCTAATATTAGACATCAAATTAGTAATGCAAAACATATAACTGAAAATTGCATACTTGCACCATAGAAGGGAGAAGTAGTACTGGATCCAGACATGGAGAAAGCAGATCAAGATACTTACAGACTCCCAGTGAACTGTATGTAAAATTGAAGACAATAATGCTCATTGTACGCTACTTTTCAACAGCTTTGTGTGCTGCAATTCAAAATCGGTGACGTGGCCGCTTAAAAGTTTTAATGTTTAAAAAAGAAAAGCATCCGTTTTCCATCTGGCCCATTTCACTTTCCATGAATAGTCTCGCTACATAGCCAGGTTTTCGCAGCCTGACATGGAATGCTGATAAAAAAAAAAAAAAAAAAAAAAAGAAGAAAAAGAAAAAAATTGGAAGACCTCTCCAAATGCCGACTCCTTCCCCCAAATCCACACGCACCACCCACACAATCAATTCCACCCAAATCAAGTGCCACACTGTCACCATCTCCTACTACACGTCAATCTAAGGTACCATTGCCCCTCTGGCAGCACTTCCATCTACTATTCCACCACCGACGATTTTGGATCTCTGGTCGCACTGCACTCGACATTTTCTGCTCCACTCCGGTTGCTCTTCCTCTCATGGGTAACTGTTACTCTATCTAAAATGAAAAACGAAGTTGAAAATTTTTAGGTTGCTACGAAACCTTATTTTTCCCCCTTTTCTTATTGCCTACTTATTTGTGTTCCAATCCGTTTCGTTAAATGATGTGTAATTTCTCCTTCAGTTAAGCTGGGTTATTGAATTCATATTTAGTATCTTATACTGTGTGTCCATTTTGTTTGGAATCTGTTCAAATGCTATTGACCTACATGACTGAAATTTTGACAATTTTTGTTGGAGAATTTCATGTTATTCATTTGCACTGGATTCTATGTTTTGCAGCACATATTTTCTTTCGTTTAGGTTGAATATCAAAGTTAACCGGTTAAACAAGGTAACAGTGGAAAGGAACCCTGATTTCAAATGTGTAATTATAGTTCCTCTCCTCATTCCCCTATCTGCTTTCCAAGTCTCATTACCTTTTCATTTACCTCATTATGAGTCAAGGAATCTATCTAATATTACAGTTCCTTCTGTAGTTGAGCATAATATTCCATATCCATGTGTTTTTATGCGCTCAACTGAATGAGAGGCAGTTAATGTGGCAGAAAGATCAGAGATGAAACATCAATTTAGAGAGAAAGTGAGTCATAATTTCTTTGTTATTGCTATAAAATATGTATAATTTGATATTCATTGTTGTTATATGTGCCAGTTCTTCTCAAACGTTGAAGTATATGTTCCTGGACTTCTTACTTAGATCATAAAGGCAAATAGTTTTGTTTTTAGACTTGAGTTTCCTTACCCTAAAAAAGTCATGACATGCTGCTTCTCATGTTAATTATCCAGAATATGCCTTGACAACGGTGTTTTCTTGCGTCTAATAGTGTTTCTTAAAAAGTTAATAATATTTTTTATTTTCTATCCAGTAAAAGTGAAAAGCCTATTTCAGCCACACATTCATAACTACTATTATTTACACATTTAGTGGGACCAGTACTATTCCTCTTGAAAAGATACCAAAAATTTTAGACGAACATAGCACATGTAAAGAAACCCACCCATAGAAAAAAAAATGCTAATATATATTTGTAGATTGGATAGAAACAAGAATGAAAATATTATCTGTTATTCGTCTAATCCAATTAATACAGTCAAATCATACTCAATTTATATTTAGTTTTCATGTCATTTCTGTTCAAATGCTATTGCTATGTGGTTTATTCCCATTGCGAAATGGTCGGATGGAATGTTGGAATATGTCATAGTTGTAGATCTAAAATCCACTACTTTGCTGAATGCCCATGGGAACACCGATGTCCATCATGCAATCATGGATTTAAGAAGTGTTTCGTGGTTGAGAAGGAAACTGCAAATAAAGGGCAATTATTTCTTTACTGCATTGACAGCTGTGGTTTTTGGGATTGGGTTGTCAAAGAAAAATCAAGCGGCGAATCCTCTAGTGGAAGCACTTCCTTTATTAACCATGCGGTGGCTGAAGAGTTGACAATCTGTCGCACATTGATATGAATGTAAAATGTATAGTTTTTCTCTTTATTTAATGCACTCGTATGATTCTTTTATGCCAAAATGTACTTATTAATCTCATATTTTGGTTTAGGTGGCAATTTGATGGATATAGCATAATCTGGAAGAAATATGTGGAAAAAGACCAAAATGAAAGCAAGCGAAAGTTTAGGGACTAAAGTACAAATACTCAAAAGTCATGTTGAACCTGACAATGAAGATTTGAGAGTGTTAGAGGTCAATTAGATGAATAAATAAGTCAAATGGATGAAATACAATCAAAGTATTATCAAATATCAACTTTCAGGCGAAAAAGTTATGCACTAGTTTTCAGTCTCATATTGAGACCCATATTTTATATGGTAAACGATCGAATTGGAAGATGATATCTAAATTCAAGTTGTAGCCCTTTGAGTTATCTTTCCAACGTATCTTGAATCGCCTCAATTGGATATCGGGAGAGAAATTTATGTTAACAATACTTAGAATTGTTCAACTACCGGAAATTAGGCTTGGCCCGCGCCCTCGCCTGCAGAAGAGGCGCGCGTCCCAGACCAAAAATGCCTCGCCTGAGGCTTCTAAACCCCCCAAGTGCTCGCCCTAGGTTGCACTAGGAGCGTGCCTCAAGGCTAAAAAGGAAACAGATCCAATTTTCCTTATTTTTATTTAATTACTTATGAAAACGTTTTGGACGCATTTTTCTTGACCTAAATTCGACCAGAATGCGTCCAACCTATTTTTCTCTCTATTTTTCTTATATCTATCATGCGTAACTAACTCTTGATACTTGATTGAAGGATACAGAAGCCTTGGAAAATATTATAACAGTGAGATCCACCTATTTTCATTGTTTAATTTATATTTTCAGTATTGAATATTCTTTATGCATAATTTTATGATTGTCATGTTTGATTGTTAAGAGATCTATTAGTTTTTCATATTAGGGTTAATTAGAACGCTGGTTTCGAATTAACTAAAATTAAGGAGAAATATGAATTTATTCCAACGATGAATATTGTGAATGTGGATTGATTATTTTTTGTGGATTGATGAATGATTATAAATCTCCAATGGTGGAAGTTGACTTTGATCAGGACTCGTTTCATTATTTTAATACAACTCGTTAATTTATATTGTTATTTGTTATAAGATTGATTTTGTTATAAACAAAACCCCTCAATCGTTATACGAAGCATAAGTTGTTGAATTGCACAATTTTCGTGGGATCGACCCTTACTTCCATTACTACATTAGTTTTAGAGATTTAAGGACTATTTTTGGGAGCTTACGACAGCACACCACACATGTTCCAATCTCGCATTCGCGTCAATGATGAAATAGACCTCGGATTTCGGTGAACGTGATGACATATAAGGCAAAAGGTAGCACATAATCAAATATATGAGTGGAGGGGTTGCCTTGATTAGTAGTTATTAATCAAATGGTCACATGAACTTTTGTATATGTAGGATTATTATGACCGAGTTCGTAAACTATATGAATGTGAACGGGTAGCATTGCATCATTTGGAGCCTTGTTGCGACACTATTTGTCATGTACATTTGTATCTTGTAACGTACAAGAGCTGCTTAGTATTGTATTACTGTGTCTTGTGTTAAAAGAGTGTTGTCTTCCTATGGAATTTTCTTATTTATTTTGTTTACTTTAAAGATGATTGTGGTCCATTAATTTGATTTTGAATTATTAAAATTGTTTTGTTGCAAGTTCATTTTTAATCCTTTCCCCTCTTTTTAAAACTTTTGGTAGCCTTTTTTTTGTTGATATTTCTCACTGATGAATAAGAACTTTAAGTTTTGTGTAACTATCAGTGTTGGAATATTATGAAGAGAAGAGATGATGTCTTTTGTTTTGCTTCAAAAAAATCAAACATATGGAGGAATTGTAAGGGTGATTTTTATAATTTTGTGGAAGGAAAGAAGGAATAGAATAGTGGAAGGAAAGAAGGAATTTCACAACACAAATGCATTAATCACTAGTAGAAAATGAAGGCCAAAAAGAGCACATTAACTAATCATTAATTATTCTTCAGTATTAAACATCCTATGCCAGAGAACAATTAACAACTACTAGTACCAAAAACCAAGAACTGAAAGCATACTGGAAACTAATCTTAAAATCTTTGGCCAGAAGCTAGTCTTCATAAAACAAAGAACCCAACGACCTCTGTTCCCATATAATCCAGACAACCAATCATTATCCTACAACGCATAAGTATCAATGAAAGCAGCCCAACCTTCTTCAAATTCTTGAACAAACTGCGAATCATAAACTAATACGTGTATTGCCCAAAAAATTGATGCCTGTTCATTGTGGTATCCAAAATTCTCAGGCAACTTCTTCAGAATGTGCTACAAATAGCATCTATGCCTTGTGTTTAGAAAAACGACATAAATTGCATTTTGCATTGCCCTGCCTTGATCAGTAATTATTCCAAGTGGTGCTTTACCGTGCATACACTAAAGCCATGAACAACTATACAAAAGTATCCGTGTCTTCATTCGGTTCCAAACTACAACCAGCAGCGTTGATTCTCCATGATGATTGATGCCAACAAAATGAACAAAAGTCATGTCATACTTTTTTGTAAGGTAAGTGGTATCAAATGTAACAGTATCGCCGAACTCCTTATACGCTTGCCTACAATGATTATCTGCCCAAAATACATTCCTCAATCTCAAATCTTCATCCAAACCCACGCTGAAGTAAAATCTCGAGCATTGTGCTTGCATTTTGAAAAGTATGATTGTATTGCTGCGGCATCTCCTTCTCTAAGTCTTAATCGTCTTACTTTTTCAATGTAATTTCGACAATCATTTTCCATGCAACTCATGTTCTCATAACCACTTACTTCCACAACTACAGAACTGAAGCTTTTATGCAATGGAATTCCTGCCAAGTCATTGACTTGTAGCTTGCATTTCACATGTGCTTTTAGCTCTCTATTGCATCGAAATAACCTGGATTTCGACTGGCTAGTTTCATGATTGTGGTCGAGGTGGACCGTGTTAATTTTCTAGGCTCCATAAATATCTGCAGATGCAATGATGATATCTTTACAGCCAATCTAAATTGTTGGTTGTGGCTTGAAAGATTCACTAGTATTACCAAGTCTTCGACCTTCACGGCTATATGCCAGTGTCACATATCTCAAGTCTCCATCGTCTCCCCTTTTTGAGTTTCTTTTCTTAACGGGAAAACCAATGGCGTACGCATATTTTTTTGTACAAGTCAAACATGACCTTCAAATCCTTAAACTGCATACCCACCTGAGGGTACAATCACACCGTCTCCCAATGAGGTTTGACCTTCTACTATGTTAATGGAGTCCGTCCCATTCTCATCATCCGATTCCACCGAAATATCATTGTGCTCGTTTAGCAGTTCGTCCATATTTTCTTTGGCTGCAATAACATAATTGAACATGTTCAGTAATACAATAACTAACACTATGATATGTAGTTACAAAATTATTCTCAAACACGTTCTTTACTT